AAGGTGAAGAGACTGGGAAAGAGGGTGAAGCATAAGGAAGATCATACAGGGCACAGGAAGCCCTATTAAAACTTTAGAAACATCTCTGGATAAAAGACTGGAGCATTTGGCTGGCTTCTTTCTGCTGCTGTATGGGAGCTTGAGCCCAGAACTGCTGCAGCTGTAAAAATGTTGGACCAGGGTGGGGGCGTTCAGGAGATAACAAATATCAAAGTGATTACACCTTATACTATAATACATGGCCTGCTTTTTATCAGTAAAATTTATCAGAAAAAAACTTACTACTTGGATGCATGTGTTACATGAGCAGTAGAAAAGCTGTGAGCCGGTGATCCATGTAGAGGCAAGTTAATGCCATGTAGATCCATGTCAAGTAAGCCTGTTGTTGCTGTCCCAGAGTTTTTGCGCATAGTGTACAGCAAACTGCCTGGTAGGAGGACATTCTGAGACAACCTAACTATGGATATTGGGAACTGCTGCTTTCCCACCAAGGCAGCAGCTCGTGGCTCTGGCTGTGTTCTGCCATGACTCTGCCTGCACTGCATCAGGGTAGAGCCCGTAGCAGTGCAGCAGCTCCCAGCTGCTGGTGACTTCTGCTGGGAGGCAGCACCCTGACGTTTGCAGATCTGTTCTGCTGGGCAGCTTGCCACGGGTGGGAGCCAGTGCCTCGCACGCAGGCATGAGGTATCACTTATCACCTGCCTGGAAGTAACTTACCTTGGAGTCTGCAGTGATTTGGCAGGAGTGGAGAGCTGCACGGTTTGGCAGAGATTTCCAGAATGGGCCCAAGGCAATGCAGACTTGGGAGAAGAGGAACCTCAGGGTGGGGAAATGGTGGTGGGAAGGAATCATTACTTGTCCCAGGCTGCTGCTCTGACTGCTCTCAATCCATATCCAAGTGCCCCAAGAGAGGGGGGGAACTGAAAAAGAATCTCCTTACACAAGCCTTTCCCAAAGGATGCTGGCAGGAAAAGTTGCACTGGATTAGATCCATTTGCTCTTAACGTAGTCAGTACCTAGTAAGTGCCAAACTCCTGCCTCTCTTAATAATTTAAGCTTTGCAGAACAGAAGCTGGGTGAAATTTTGACCTTATGTATTACTGCTGTGTAAGTAATCCTCAGAAACGCTCTCGGTATTGTTAACTGTTTGTAGTTACTACAGGATTTAGGAATAATTATGTTGTACTTACGCAATAAAAATAAAGCATAATGTGTGTTCTGGATTGTAAAGTTTTCATTAAAACATGATTTAAAAGCTTGTGAGAAGTTGGCATTAATAAGAAGAGTTGGTTCAGGCAGTCTTGTTTAATTCAAATGCAGTTGTTGCATCTCTCATGTGTTGAATGTTAGTTTTGTTTTTAAAAGGTAAAAATAATTTATATGATGTGATGATAAATATTACAGAAACAATAGCTATAGACATATATATCAAAAGAGAAAAGGCAAATGCCGTGTTACAGCCAGTGCTAGTTTAAAAAACAAAAACCAAAAAAAACTTGATCCTTGTTCAGAGTTGACATGTGCAAAGCATTTGACACTGTCCCGCACAATATCCTTGTCTCTAAACTGGAGAGACGTGGATTTGATGGGTGGATCACTCTGTGGATGAGGAACTGGCTGGATGGTCGCACTCAGAGAGCTGTGGTCAACGGCTCGATGTCCAAGTGGCGAGCAGTGACGAGTGGCGTTCCTCAGGGGTCGGTGTTGGGACCAGTGCTGCTCAACATCTTTGTCGGTGACATGGACAGTGGGATTGAGTGCACGCTCAGAAAGTTTGCCAGTGACACGGAGCTGTGTGGTGTGTTGACACGCTGAGGGCAGGGATGCCATCCAGAGGGACCTGGGCAGTTTGAGAGGTGGGCCTGTGCAAACCTCAAGAAGTTCGAGGCCAAGTGCAAGGTCCTGCCCATGGGTCGGGACAATCTCAAGCAGAGATACACTCTGGGTGAAGAGTGGATTGAGAGCATCCCTGAGGACAAGGATGCGGGCATATTAGTGGATGGAAAACTGACTGTGAGCCAGCAATGTGCATTCACAGCCCAGGAAGCCAACTGTGCCCCAGACTGCATCCAGAGCAGGGTGGGCAGCAGGTCGAGGGAGGGGATTCTCCCCCTCTGCTCCTGTGAGACCCCCCTGCAGTGCTGGGGCCAGCTCTGGGCCCCCAACAGCAGAAGGACACGGAGCTGCTCGAGCGGGGCCAGAGGAGGCCACGGCGATGCTGGGGGGGCTGGAGCAGCTCCCCTGGGAGGCCGGGCTGAGAGAGTTGAGGGGGTTCAGCCTGGAGAAGAGAAGGCTCCGGGGAGCCCTTCGAGCGGCCTCCCAGGGCTTAAAGGGGGGACGGGAAAGGTGGGGAGGGGCTCTGTCAGGGAATGTAAGGATAGGATGAGGGTTAACAGTTTTAAACTGAAAGAGAGTAGATTTAGATCAGATATAATGAAGAAATTCTTTTCCGTGAAGTGGTGAGGCGCTGGCCCAGGGTGCCCAGAGCAGCTGTGGCTGCCCCCTCCCTGGAAGGGTTCAAGGCCAGGTTGGACGGGGCTGGGAGCCCCCTGGGCTGGGGGAAGGGGGCCCTGCCCAGGGCGGGGGGGTTGGAACTAGATGGTATTTTAGGTCCCTTCTATAATTCTGTGATTCTATGAATCTGTGTAGGGGAATATGTGTCTTGAGTAGATAAAAATCACATGAAATATATGAATATGCATAACTGTTGTTTGTGAACAATTCGTACCTAAATCAGCTTTCATCCAGGATAATTTCAGCTGCTGTTTGTACTGTCAGTGAATTGGCCTATGCTCTGCGTTTTAAAAAGATTGTTTAACCTGTCCCTTTTGATTTTTGAGGTGTTCGTATTCACAGTGTTTTTTAGTTCTATAGCAGCATTTATTGCGTTTTGGACCCTTGATGGAAAACACTTATATGATTATCAGAAAAGAGGTGCTTTATTGCATTATGCAATTTTTTAAAGCATGCTTTATAATATACAGTAAGCTGATATCTGTTCATATTGCAATGCCCCATTCAGAGCTCTTCCACAGAATTTTGTTTTAGAGTGGAATTCAGCAGTTGACTCCCAGGCACAAATAACCATGTAATTACTTGCAATCACATAGTAATTAGCATGTACTATTCATATATTGCATAATTATATACCCTGCAGATTACATAGTAATTATATTTGTACTAAACATATAATTCTATATACTGTATTAAAAAAAACTTTGAGAATTCATAGTTAATATTATAGGTGTATGTTAATGTACTACAACATTTTATATAAAAAAGTTACAATTTTATAAGTCTTTTTCTGGATATTTTATCTCTTCTTCATCTGGTTTCCTTAAGCTGTGGTAGGCTGCTATTATAAGAAATGATTGGATCTGTTAATTTATAGTCAAATATTGCATGTTTATAATTTTGTAATTTATGAAGATAAGAAGCAAAAAGTTGCAGTTTATTGTGCAAAAACTGAGATTGAGAAGGACTTGGAGTGTGAATGTTAAATGTACAAAGGTTACGTGTACAAACCCACTGGACATAGTAACAGCATACTGCTAGAGTGAAAAACAAATCTAATGCTACTTAGTTGTTTCATTATTTCTGGGTAGGTAAGATAATGGAATAGTAGCAGGTGATATATTTGTATAATGTGAAGTGTGCACCAGCACCAAGGCCCCTCTTGGGCACAGTCAGTTCAGGCAATTGCAGTACCTTACTGCAGAACGTCAGCCAACCTACACCATCTTTTCCTGCCATGGAAAAAGATAAAAAGTTAATGTCCTTATCATCTCTCAATGAGTGACAAATGGTAGGAGAACGGAGAAGAGTTGCACTTGTAGAAGGGCCTTGCACTGAGTTTTGGGGAAAAGGTAGAAGATCTAGAAAAAAAAGCTATTTTTAAGAGGACCTTAGAGCTTTAGATCATTTTAGATGTTTTATCTTTGGCCAGCTCCTGAAGAGGTTGCTGCAGAGTTTTAGATACTTGTAAAATGTTGTTCAGCTTGCAATTTCTGTAGCAATGGAAGTTAATGTATTTTCTGTGGTGTTGGCATTCCTAATATCCAAAGCAGCATTATGATTATTCTTAATTGAATTTTGCATTCTAATGCCAGTTGCCTTCATTTTCAAGCAAAACATATATTGGGTTTTAATATCTGGATAATGTATTACAAAATTAAATGTGTAATTATAGTCTTAACTTTTATCTGAGTTTAATTTTTTCTATAACTTTTTGTAGAGTGTGCGTGTGAGAGAGACGTACTCTTTGTTTTAAAATGTTTCTTTCAGGCGTTGTTAATTCTATGTCAGTTTCTTCAAAACTTGTAAGCTTCTTAAAACTTCCAGGGTTCAGGGAGCATCTGTAGATCTTACAAAAGTGTCTTTAAGCATGGTGCTTCCAGGCCTTGTGAGTGGCCTTAGAGTGGTGCTGCACCTGCTTTTCTTTCTGTCTGGGTGGGCTGTTTTGCTACATTCAAAACTGTACTAACAAGCATGTGGCTTTTATATTCTGCAGAGTACGCAAATTACATTTCAGTGTTGTTACCTGATGTAGACACTGAATGCCACACTGTTCAAGGAAAAAATGAAAAATGTCAGAACTTTACAAAACCAGAGTTTTTGTAAACATGTTCTCACTGTGTTCTTGTGTGATGGGCCAAAGGTATCCCTTTCAATATACCAGCGATTTTAATAGTTTTTAGTGAGGCCAAGTCTTACCCAATAGTCATCCTGCATATCTTCTCCTAAGAAGATGAAGTACAGCCTGCCTGCTGTAATCATCATTTATTTGCCAGCATTCTGATCTTAACAAATGCCTGTGCCCGTGTTCACTCGTTAAATCATTACCCTAAGAAACATAAGGGCTAGTTGCAGTTTCTGGCACTGAAAGATTCGTATGCAACAAGTATATAATCAGGATCTCATTAACAGTGAAATAAACACAAACATCAAAGCACAATATAAATGTGACGCATTTCTTACTGCTGTTGTGTTGTTTTTTCTAGTGGAGCCAGTACTTTCAAAGGGGAACAATTGCTTGGATGCAGCAAAAGCTTGTAACCTAAATGATACCTGCAAGAGGTTCAGATCTGCTTACATAACCCCCTGCACCAGCAGCACGTCTAATGAAATCTGTAACAAGCGGAAGTGTCATAAGGCCCTCCGGCTATTTTTTGACAAAGTTCCCCCAAAGCACAGCTACGGGATGCTCTTCTGCTCCTGTCGAGACGTAGCCTGTACAGAAAGGAGACGGCAGACTATTGTTCCTGTGTGTTCATATGAGGACAGGGAGAAACCAAACTGCCTGAATTTACAAGAATCCTGCAAGAAGAATTACATCTGCAGGTAAGATAGCACATGGCAGGGGAGTGATTAATGAGGTACCAGAAAGAACTTTTTGGTACTGCTGGATTTGCCAGGAGTAAGGGTCAGAATATCCACTAGGAAAAAAGGATGAGTCAGGGAAAAAAGCAAACGCCCCTGACATCCTTAATAGAATAACAAAAGCCTGCATCTGGTTACAGTGTGTGCCTTCTCCAAAACTGTTCACAGCTACTCCCTCACATTATAGAGGAATCTTTAAACCCCCAGTTTAATTTTTACAGGGTTTTTTTGGAAACATTTTCATTAGGTGTCTCTATAGAATGATGTCTCAGAATGATTTTTACGTCCCATTAGTGGCTGGGTGAAAATAGAATTCTTAATTTTAATGGGATTTATTGTCACTGTAATCTTACGTGTGAGCACTAATAAATGTGTATACAAGCCACATGTTGGACTTTATAAATGATCACAAGACACAGACTATTAATGGGGTTTTTCTTCATTAAAAAAAAGGGGTCCACATTTGTAGACTCGATCCCACTATCTTCGTAGAGCTGTTTTAGCCTTGGAATTGTTTTATTGCCTCTCCCCTGACAGGAGAGCTGGGCTGATACAGCTGGAGGGTCATGGATTCAGTTACCTAATTCCCAGTTGCTTCCCTCTGCGTGTTCAGCCTGGAGAAGCGCTGCAGAGCGCTGCTTCACAGGACAAACTGGGTCCTTTTGCTTTCAGCCAGTTCCCTGCAGGTTGTCACACACCAGTGTCATACAGGACCTCCTCTGCCCTTATTCCTGCTTAGCATTGTGTATGTTTATATTAGAACGTTGTGCTAATGTCATATTTATAAAGTTATGCAGAAGAATCTTGCTCATTTCTAATGTGTGAATTCCTTGTAGATTATCCAGTTCTGTGATGTAACAAGTTAGGAAATAAACACTATTGTAAAATGTCAAGGATGCTGAAGATACGATATAAATCTTAATAAGTACTTATATATGCCTGGTATAATATTTAGTGTTAAGTTTATTTATGAGATCTCCACTTCTAATCTTAAACATTCAGCCATAGCACCTCAGATGTGCCTGAAAGTTGCTCCTCACAGGTGAGGAGGTGAACAGTGTCCTACCCTTGATGGCTCGGGGGAAATCTGGATCCAGTTTCCTGCTGACCCAAATTTGGTCAGATTTAAATCAGAGCAGGGTTCTCATTTTAGTCCAGTGAGTTGCATTCAGCACTTTCATAGCAGATGCTACTGCAGTTTGTGAAAGCTGGATACATATAGTCTCAGAAACACCTGTTTTCCATTTCCATGTTGTACCATTAGTCTTTTTGCTTGTATACATTGCCTTCCCTATACACAGGACCCTATTAATTAGTAGAGTTACAGTATCTTTGCTGTGTTTTCTGCCAAACGCCCAGTGTGTTACAGTGCCAGTAAAATGCGAGAGAGGGTTTTATAGGGAAAGTTCTTCCTATTATTCAGGTTGCAGTGTTCAGAAATTACTTGCTTAAATTAATGACATTACTTGTCTCATGGCTGTGTTTTCCTTTGGTCAGCTTTGATCTAATGTTGTCTCAGCAGTTAAGTTTTTAATGGTGTTTTGTTTAATTGGACTTCTCGAGTCTGGTGTTGTGCTTTCTCCATTGCAACGCTGCAGAGGAAAGCTTGGTAAATTGTCTGTTCCCATTGCCCTAAGTTGCAGCCTTCACTGGGGTGAAAATGGATTTCTTTACAGGTTCTTCCTGTGGCTTCTTTTGCTTTAAAATGCCCAAATTAAAAAGTTTGGACTCTTCCAAGGCTCAGCGAGATGTGGCTGTGAGGGTGAGGGGCAGCACTGGTTAAAGGCAGAGGGTGGGCAAATGCCTGCAGGGTCTGGGGCAGTCAGTGAGTGCAGCACTTAGGTCCTATGCCCGGAGGTAAAGCAAGCTTGATGTGTTGCTGAGAGTCATCTCATATAAGTGTTGATACCTCCTGGGCTGTCTAAACTGCTGGTGTATTTAATACCTTCCCTGTCTACTGTCATGGAGAGGAGGAATCAGCAGCAGAGCTATTTCAGCCTGTCCATAATAAGGCGAAAGACATTTTGTCTCTATGACTTGTTGTGCACTTAGAATTGGTGTAATTTGTTCCCCTCGTCCTGCAGGAAAACAGGGACTTGGGCAGGGGAGGAAAGAAAGGGGAGATTTCCTTCCTGCTACTGAAAGTATTGGCACTGATCATGTCAGTCTATGTAGTAATTCCAGATACGTTTAGAATAATTAAAACCAGTAGTCAGTAGGCACATAATTCTAGATCTGATAATTTCTATTTCATTTTGAAATCAGAAAGAGTATCTAAATGAGAGAATAATTTGAGAATATGTTCTGCCTACTGTGAAACAGAGTCATTTAGAAACTATTATTTGTGTGCCTATTAAAGCTTCTTCATAATGCTAGTTAAGACAAGGGGGACAAGTTCTAAAGGGTTTCTGAAAGTACCTTGGTTTATGACTGCTGCTGACTCAGAAATGCAAGATTTGAATCTGCCCATACTCTCTATAAAATAGCAACTGGGCCTGTGCAAACAAGTATTTAAACATTCAGTTTTGGATCCTCTTTAAAAGCTTTGTCCTGGATGCACATATCACTGAATCTATTTTTGAAATTATATTAAGACTAGAGAAGCAATTTGGCCAAATTGCAGGTATCACTAACTGACATGGCAGGACATTTAGCATATTTTTTTTCTTTTTTATTCTTTAATCTATCTGTTATATAACATAAACTCTCAATTGAGGGAGAAAGGGACCAGAAATGTCAGGAAATGTAAGTAATTTCTGACTTACGTAAATAGTCTTAATTTTTCAACTTCATCAGAGTACTGAATGGTTCACTTTCATTATCATTTTTCTGCTGCCTCTACTTGTATCCCAGTGCATAACCAGCTTTGAAAATGATTGAGGTCTCTCAGGCATGCCTGTCAATGCTCACTGAAAAGAAGAGCAAAAACACAAAGAACAAAAAGAAGCCAATAGAGTTCCTTTTTATTATGAACATAAACAAAACTTCTAAGGAAAGTCAATACACTGTCAAAAACTTTCACCAATGATGTTGTCCTGGAATAGCTCAAACCTCAATGAAACCTTCTGTTCTGATCACTTCAGCCACCAATTAAACTTCAGAAAAGTTGACTGGCATGTTTTAAAAATACCATTCTGCTGTAAATGCAGGGCAGTGTTCTTCATTTTTTTCCACTGTCACATTTAACAGTGCTTCAAATACTATTTTCTTTGAGTAATGAAAATGTGAGTCATTAGTTTGGCCTTTTTAATAATCTGCGTTGTGAATTTGCATGCTTCCTCCTGGATATGTTCATAAGGCACTGACCAGAATGATAATGATACAGACACATTATTTATTAAAAGAACAACATCAATCCAGTCATGTGCTGCAAAGATCTGAAAAGAGTGGTGGCATAAAATGAGTCATTTTTTGTCAATATGAGAATCTAGTAACAGCATGTTTCTTGTCCTCACCAATTACTTTATTCATAATGGTTGGTCAGATCATTGAGGCTCATTTTTAAGGTAAAACCGCCAGAAAGTAGTTCTTGACTAGTTTTAGAAGACAGCTGTTTGGTCCTTTTTTTTTTAGCTAAATACTATGCTTAATGTTTTGCCTTTATTTCTGTAAAAAGCACGTGTTGCTGTCTACAGCTATTTGATACTGGAAAAGAAAAAAAAAAAATGGCTGCATAATATATTTTAATAACTTTTCTTCATGGGATGTCTGAAGGATAATAATGAAATGTCCTACTAGGTTTCAATAGATGTGTCATCTCCCTGAAAATACAATAGTTTTGTCACTGTGTATTCAGAGAGCTAAATCTTATAAATGTACTCTCACTGGTGTGTTCTTACCCCTTGATCACTTTCTCGTCACTTGTCCTATCCATTCTTAATTTTGTTGCAACCACACATTCAATTCTGTATGAAAGGTACCTGCATCTACAGGTATAAGAATGTTGTGTGAAAATATGCAAATACTTTCATCCATGTGTAAAGCAATTCATCCATGGTAAAGGCTAGAACAAAAGCTCAGCTGCTTTCTGTTTCCTGAAAATGTAAGAAACTTGCCAAGAAATTAATTTTCCTTTTTTATATTCTGTTGGACATTTTTAATGACAATTTGCGATGGAAAGGGAGGCACTGTGTCTTGGCTCCTTTTCCATAAGGCATGTGAAATCTGCAGGTGCTTTATACCAGTACCTGTTTGTAAAAGTGGCTTCTCTGTGTAAGACTTCTGGGCTGTTCCTGCGACATGTACCATTACTGACTGCAAACCATGCACCCTTATGGATAAGATTTGCCAGAGGAGCAGGTGGTTACACACTGTAGGCACGTCTATGATGAGATGCTACAAATGTGCAGTCATACTTTTTTGTCCTGCTTTAGGAGAGGGAGAGCCCAGAATCCTGTTTTAGGTGGGAGCCTTCTTCAGTTACAGCATTAACAAGTAGCAGGGAGGAGTGCACTAAAGGGATGTGTGGGGGGAGACAGAATAGGGGAAGAAGAAATATGTCCTTTTCCTCAAATTTTCTGTTCCTTAGGTTTCTCTTACTTTTTTTCTCACATTCTCCCTTTTTTCTCATACCTCTTCCCCTTGCTTAGTCTCCTTTCATCTCTTTCCACATCTCCCAGTCATTATCTGACTTTCACTGCCTCTCTGCAGCATTTGAATTCTATTACAGCAACTTACAGTCCTTCCTCACCTACTCCTCTGTGTATTGTTCTTTTCCTCCCTCAATATCCTGCCACAGTCCAGTGATCATCTCTAATTCAGCAAACGAGAGGGAAAACACAGGTGCTACCTCACTTTATCAGCCTTGTAGCTTATATTGGTTACAATTCAGTTGGCCAGCTACTAGGCTTGACTGCTCAGTCTCAGACTGGCTCTAGCTTTACATGTTAAAAGGACACTTAGTGGATATTTTCATGAAGGACACAGTAACATTATACAGTTCTGTATAACAGAACTGGATT